CATTAACTAACACATAGACAGTTAAGCATTACATTGTTTCTTCTGAATATTTTAACAATTTTTTTAATTTATCAATTTTATTTAGGTATAATTTATTACAATAAAATGCACTAATTTAAAGTATAGAGTCCAGTGAGTTTTGACAAATATACCCATCTGGGTAGCCAGCACCACAATCAAGACAGCAAACTTACAAACTTTTCTATCACAAAAAAAGGTTTCCTTATGCCCTTTTGGAGTCAACTCCCACCACCACCACCCCCAGGCAGCAACTGGCCTAATTTCTATCACTATAGATAAATACTTCTGGTTCCGGAACTTCACAGAAATGGAATCATTCAGTATGAACTCTTTTATGTGAGGCTTCTTTCACTTCTCATAATTTTAAAAGTATTTATCTATATTGTTGTATATATTGGTGTGTGTTCCTTTTCAGTGTCAAGTAGTATATATTCCATCGACAAACTACACATTTGCTTATCCATTCACCTGTTGATGGACACTTGACTTGCTTTTAATTTTGAGTACTTATGAATAAAACTGCTAGAAACATTTGTGTACAGATCTTGTAGACACATTTTCAGATAACTATCTAAAAGTGGAATTACTGAGCAGAGGTTTTCTTTTTAAAATTAAAACAATAAAAACATATGTTTAATTAACAAAGTTCAAATCACTTTATTTCCACTTGAACTTTTAAAAAGAAGAGGTGACATCATAAGTCATAGAACAGCCCAGAACTGCAAAGAGCATGTGGGGTTCCTACAGGCAAGCAAAGCACAACCACCTAGAGGTCAGAGCTATCTCTGAGCACTGGGCTCAGTGCTTGCTTAAAGAGTGGCTGAACAGGAAATGGAGAGGTGACAGCTGGTCAGGATGTGGGTAAGCAGCTAACGCCTACTTCACTGCATTGTCTACATCTGACTGGTGGGGTAGGGAGTCATGCTCCTGGTAGACCCAGGATCAAGAGTCTCAGGCTATTCCAGCTTTGGAAAAAACACTGAAAGTCAGCTGTGAGTTGCTAAAAAATGAAATGAAATGAAATGAAATGAAATGAAATAAAAAAAATTAAAAAATAAAATAAAATAAATAAAATAAAATAAAATAAAATAAAATGGCTAGAGTACAAGGAAGTTCCTGGCAAAAATTAATGGGCAAGAAATCATTAGCATTGCATATAAGAAGTTAAATGGGGATAATTTCCTTAACTTTCCAGTTGTACTTTCTCAATTGATTATAATGGTTACCCATGACTTTTGCTAGATTAAATCATATGCATAGTCAACTAATGCATATCAAATGTAAATAATAAGTCTTATCCTGTCTTTTTTTTCCCTGCAACTAACTCCTCATATGCCAGAGGGAATTTTCCAAGTCAACATCAAAGACTAATTAAACGTTTGGTGTAGGAGCTTTGAAAGAATGACTGTGTAATTTTATTTTACATATACATGCCAAATAAAAAATAAACTAATAAAAACTTCCTTTGGGTGCTGAAAGTTTGCTGTCTAATCTTCTAAAAGGCAAAAAGCATTGAAAAAATAATTAACCACTTCAGAGTTCATCAACAAATTAAGTCTCATGTTTCAAAACTTCAATTAATCCCTGTGATCACTAATTTTCTGGTAGTTGCCCATCTTTCTAATGATTTGTCAAATCCAAACCTTGCATTTTCTTTTTTTCTTCTTTTTTTACTTTTGTTTTAGGTTCATTATAGCACTATTCACAATAGCAAAGACATAGAATCAACCTAAATGCTTACCAAGGTTGTATTTTCATAGTTCTAAGTTTATTTTTTGAATTTAATATTAAGAAAGAATAGCATTTAGAAAGTATGAATTTACAGACAGGAAAAAATAACGGAAATGTTTAAAGTATTTTACAAGGCATCTGATCCACCTAAAACTACTATGTATTTTTTCTAATCTGATAGTTTATCATAGAGTCCTAAGTAGTCTTTACATTACAACATGAACAAAGTGGTCAAAGAAGTAGATTTGACGATTTCCACTTTGGCTGGTAAATCAACACACTGTCTACCATACTGATACCTCCATGACAAAGGACAAAATGAGAGGTAAGAAGGACATAGCTTGAGTTTCCCATAGTAGCCGGAACCTGTGGTCAAGACTAGCTTGGGAGTAATTTGGCTACTACAGTTCACAAAAATTAGCAAAGAGACACATGACAAAGACTCTGCCTTTCAAAAGTCCAATTTCTTTGATATGTTTTTCTGTTTCTTACAAGTCGATTGCTTCTACCCACCACCACCGGAAACACATCCTTTGGGGGAAATGGAAAGGGTGGTGTACTAGATAGAAAGCAGGAACTCTGCAGTCCTTAAGCAAGTCATTTAATGTCTTTGGATTCTCATCTATGAAATGAAGTATTAAGTACTTTTCCTATTTGAAATCAGAAGGAAGCTCAGACTTTTTGGTCCTAGACCACCCATTCAATATCCTGCCCTGGGGCTTCCTATGCATAAATAGTGATGGCTCTGTCCTCCAGCAGAGCACAAGCCACAGGTATCAGGAGTTACATACTGCCTAACTTTCTCAGCTTTCTGTCACTGGAAAAGGGTCCGATTCAGACCCCAAGAGAGGGTTCTTGGACCTCGCACAAGAAAGAAATCAGGGCAAGTTCATAGAGAAAAGTGGAGGCAAGTTTATTAAGAAAGTAAAGAAACAAAAGAATGATTACTCCATGGGCAGAGCAGTGGCATGAGCTGCTCGACTGAATAGACTTATAGTTGTTTCTTGATTATATGCTAAACAACAGGTGGATTATTCATGAGTTTTCCAGGAAAGGGGTGGGAAACTCCCAGAACTGAGGATTCCTCCTACTTTTAGACCACATAAAGTAACTTCCCATGTTGTCATGGCATTTGTAAATTGTCACGGCGCTGGTGGGAGTGTCTTTTAGCATGCATTATAATTTACATATAATGAGCAATGAGGATGATCAGAGGTCACTTTCATTGCCATCGTGGGTTTGGTGGGCTTTGGCTGGCTTCTTTACTACAACCTGTTTTATCACCAAGGTCTTTATGACCTGTATTTTGTGCTGACCTCCTGTCTCACCCTGTGACAAAGAATGCCTTAACCTCCGGGGAATGCAGTCCAGTAGGTCTCAGCCTTATTTTACTCAGCCCTTACTCAAGATGGAGTCGCTCTGGTTCTAATGTCTCTAACATTTCTATGTTTAGAAATAGAAGTCCATGGGATATTTCTATACTTCTGAATTTTACTTTTGGAAACTAACAAATAATATATTAAATATCATAAAAAGCCTAAGATAGAAATTCATCTGAAATACATATTTGTTTGTCAAGAATGTCTGTTACAAGATGGCTTCCATAGCACCATTTTAAAAGTTGGCTAATGCCAATCTAAAGAGCTTCAAGGGGCTTGTCTCCATACAGCTGAAGGAGGCAGCACAGGCTCTAACAGCTCTATCAAGAAGACTTCAAGTGCAAATCTGGGATAAGAAGACAAGATAACCCAAGGTTCACTACCTTAATTCTCAACTTGAGAAGAGAGCTACACTGCTGCCAAAGAGAGCTGTTATATCATTGTGCAGCCATAAGGATGCACTTGCAGACCTCCAATAACACAGAGTGCAACTGGCCAAGGATCCCAGCTGCTGTGCTCTGAAGTCCATCTCTGCATTCTCTCAGAGGCCATGATGCCTCCTGATGGGCGACTACTGGAGCACAGTAGGAATACAAAGGCAGGCCTGTAGGATGGCTGACTTTGCTAGAGGACTTCCTGATGCCTTTGCTACCTCTGACTGCAGAGCAATCTAGTTCACCTCCACCAAACCTCTGTTTTCACTTAGAATAAGACTTTAATCAGTGGTCTAATGGTTCCCCTGGTTTTTTCTAGCTCTTCTTTACTTTCTTTTATGTAAGCATTTTCTCTAAAAGTAACATTGCAATTGTAGTCCTGACTTAGCATCTGCTTCTCAGAGGTCCAGACTAACATTCATTCATGTATTCATCCACTCATTAATTCAGTCAAGAATTATTAATTCAGTCAAGAATTATAGAGTGCTTAGAATGTTCCTGGAACTTTGCTCTAGGCACTGGGGAGACTGGTGAACTATACTGAGAAGACACTAACATTGATAACCCTTCTTTGCTCAAAGTGTCATAACTGCTTCCCCTTCTTTAGCACTTACTGTGTGCTGGGCACTGAACTAAGACCACTCCACATGCCACATCTCATTTGCTCTTCACAACAACCCTGAAAGAAGGCATTATTATTCTTATTTCATAGATAAGAAAACAGAGACCTAGAGAGATTATGTTGTCAAGGCCTTTTCTGATAGAGCCAACTTTTTTACTCCAAAACCCATGCATTTAACCGTTAGCTTATGATGTACCTACTCCATTTGGATGTATCTGCTCCATGTGGACCACTGATTAAAGCCTTATCTCAAGTGAAAATAGAGGTTTGCTGGAAGTGTACTCGTTTGCTGTGTAGTCTGAGGTAGCAAAGGCATCGGGAAGTCCTCTAGCAAAGTCAGGCATCCTACAGGCCTGCCTTTGTATTCCTGCTCTGAGCACTTTTATTTTCTGGTAATGCACATCTGCATAGTTGATTTTCCAAAGCCTGGCTTCATTTCTTCAATTTAAATTTACGACCGTTGGGAGAACCATTTACAGAACAGGGAAAACACAGTGCTCCAGAGCATTCAGAGTTTGCACAATTCCAAAGTCAGGTTAACGACAACATTGTTTAACCCACCCAGAAGAGGTCTCTGATCAGGTGTGAGTTTCAACTCATCCTCACTGTTGCAAAGAAGATAGAGAGGACAGAAAAATCCTTAGCTTCTCTACTTTTCATCCTGGTCATGGCCCAGCCTTGGCAAACTGATAGCAGGTAGCTGCATATACCCAGAGCTTCTCTCAGAGGCCAGACAGGCCCACTGCAAAGTCAGCCACAGCAACCTGTGCAGCAGCTGTGAGCATCCTTGTGAAAACCAATGCAAACACGTACCATGATATCCAAGGTCAGATGTGATATCCTCTACAATTGATTCAAGTTTGCGGAGGTCCATGGAAGGAATAGGCTGAGGCTCAGGCAGGTTCTCTAAAGTCGGTTCATCAAATTCCTTGTGGAAGGTAATTAACAATTCATGAGATGCTGACAGAAGGAAACAGCACTACCACAAATGAAAAAAATATTATTTCTTAGAAGACTACTTGGAAACAAGCCTACCTAATCCTCTCCCTTAAACATTTTCAAACTTCAGGAGGTAAGCTGGGATAAGAGAAACAGCCCTGAATCAACGAGACAGGTGACCTTGCACAAAGCATTTAACTTTCATGGGCTCAGTTTCAGGATCATGACTAGGTAAGCCAAGTGGGATGCCCAAGGTACCAATTGAAGGTACTCACTCCATTGACAGCTGAGGGGGGCCTCCTTCAATTTGGCACCTAGGATATTCCACTTACCATACCCTACTCCAGCCCTGCTCAGTTTCTGCATCTCAAAATTAAAGGTGTTAGCTTGAATGACTTACAAGTTCCCCTCTAGCTTTAAATCTCTGTGATTCTATGAATTCCAATTTCCTAAAAGAAAAAGATCTAAGAGACCACATGATGAAAGAATTCACACTTCAAAAAAATAAAAGGTTTAGCCAAAATCAATAGGTATTTCAATAAATCATTTTGCCTTTTTCCCTTAGGGGTGTGTGTGTGTGTGTGTGTGTGTGTGTGTGTGTGTATTTGTGTTTGAACCTGGAGCTGGTGCTGAGTTGATCTATTTTTCTTGATAAATGGTTTTCATGGGAAACTACTCCAAGAGTATCTTTTTAATGAAACAAAATTTAAAAGAAAGTTCAATCTAATCTCAATAAGTAAAATGAAGCCATGCCACACTGCAGTGCAGTATTTGTGAGAATATCATCATAAAGTGTTTTTAAGAAGTCAGTTTTCTGTACTGTATAATAATTGTTTCAGGAGGTGAAATTGGTTCCAAATTTCAAAGGATCGCTGAGAGCACACAGAGAACTTTATGGATAAAGAACAGAGAGTACATGAAATACATCTTTACATGCACTTCGAAAATTATTTGAAAATAAGAATGTATTTGGACTCTCAATTAACTTTGATTTGCTGTTTCTCTTTGAAGAGAAAGATAGAATTATTATAAATGCTTCTTTTAGAAGGAGGACGACATGGTCTGATCTTTGGTCCCCATTACCACTCTATGTATGGAGACCTGATCTGCTATGTACTTTTCACAGAGACCTAACTTTAGCCCCAGCACAACTGTATATGCCACAGGATCAAAAACAGACCTGGCCTGTCTTACTTATTATGTCTAACTGCTTTAAGCTGTCATTCTTTAGAGAAACGGTGCCTAACATGATTCCACATTCGATGGTGCTTCAAGATTTCAAAGCCCAAATTCAGTCAAGCAGAAAATGCCTGCCAAAATAAAAGGCCTTGTCAGCTAGGGTCTGAAAAACAAAGCAAGCCACTCTTCTACATGCCTCAAATAATTTTTATAACATGTTTAAGAGGTGACATAGAGCCCATTCTCTCCCATAACTCTGATTCCCTCCTGTAAGTGCTTTAGAAATATAAAGTAGCTTGCTTCCGCCAGGCAAGAGAGATGGAAGAAGGACTAGAGAACACAGCCCCAGTGAGATTAGTAAGAAATTAAATCATAAACATGTGTATGGGCAAGGGGAAGGAAAGCACTCAAAGATGGGAGCATTTTTCTCTTCCTCTTCTCCTTATCACATTTTTCTTTAGCATCTTGCATCTGATTAATCTAATTTCTTTCCTATATTTATTTCATCTTTTTCAGCTCAATGAAGCTTTTTCCTTCTACATTTAAAACCCTTCAGGCTCCTCTGCAAAGTGTTCGGCTTCCCATTTTATTTCCCCTTTGTTCTCTGGATATCATTAAACCTGCCTCACTTTTGTGCTGAATATGTATGTGAATATGATTAAACTTGCCTCTTCCCTGTCTTGCCACCTCTCTTCATCCTCGTCCTGGGGTGAACAAGAAAGTCTTCCCTCAGGTTGCTCCTCCTTTTCTTCCATTCCTATTAAATGTGTTTTTTCCTAAAGAGATGATGACAAGGTCTGTTCAGCAGTGGTTTTCCAAGTCTTCCCTCATCTGAGGTGAAGCGCTGCTTTCAGGAGGCCCATTTTCTATTCATTATTAATCAGAGTGTACACAGGAATCAGACCAGCAGCATAGGAATTAGCAGAGGGCTTATAAGAAATACAACATTTCTGAGCATTCTAGAAAACTATGTCCCCATTTCTATAGCTGAATAAACAAGTACTTTACACATGAACACACTCAGAATTCTTAAAATTCTGTCAGCCTCCTAGTCCGGATCTGTGGGAATGTGCAGTTCTCAGCACTGTAAGGGGACAAAGCAGACTGAACCAGAGAAGAAGATCCATCTTCACAGGCTATCATTTGCAGGGCCTAGAAGTGTGTGGGAAGTTGAAGAAAGGCACCCAGTTTTCAGAGGGGTGCTTGAGTCCTTCCATAGTGGTGACATCAAGACCCTTCTCCAAGTAGGGATCCAGTCCTATTGTTGACCCCATGGCCTTTCAGCCAGCAGGTTCTTCACTCACCAAGTTCCCTGAGCAGGAAAGAACCCATCTCCCAAGTCTCTGTAGCCTGCAACAGACCCCACATGGGGATTTCACTTAAATGGAGTGGCAGATGGGTGGGAAAAGGGGGATGGAATTGAGCACATATCAAACCAGCATCCCCACATTGTCTGCTAACTGGTCCATCAAACAGAGGAAGACTCCTGAGGTTAGAGGAAGCTAGGCCTCTTATTGGTCCCAACTTAGGATTTTTAGAACTCCAAATCACATAGAACCACTAAATAATTGAGAAAGATGCATTACTGGCAGATCTCCCCTTAAGAGGGGCCCTATCTGGCTGAGAGTGAGGTCTCATGCATGCCCCAGGGTTTGGAGCCCTCTGATAACTAAGCTACAACAGAATTAGCATCCCTGGGGCTTGGGGGATTGTACCCGCAGCCTCAGGGGGCTTGGTGCTTCCTGCTAAAGGAGAGAATCTCTCACATGCAGGGATCTCCATTAATAAAAATCAGAATTTGAGACAGTAGAAGTTCTCTATAAAAATGGCTTCATCCCAAGTTGCTTTTACCTGAAGAGCTATGAGGTTGGTATTGACATCTATTGCCCAAATTTGACATTGTAAAGACCACATTATTAATCAGAGCCTACCCAAGGCCTGTGGAGACACTGTCAACCATTAGAGAAAATGGTGTTTGCTATTTACAGATTTGGAATGCTAAGGACATGAATTTGGGGTCATTTCATGTGAATCTGCAACTCTATTCATTACTAACATCTATGGCAGTTAAAATTTGAATGAAGTTATCAACACAATGTACAACAAAATGGGTAGGAAACAAAATAAAAAGGAAAAGAATAAAAACCAAAGAGAACAATGTACTAAAGAGGTAAAGCAACAATAGCATGGGTGGAATGAAAAATTAGATACACACACATTTGTTCTGTCAGCTAATCATTTTAACCCATCAGTTACGCATTCAGTGCCAATTCAGTTGTCTTGCGCAGAGTAGGTGCTTGATTTTTGTTAAATGGATCAATTGACCCACCTCTCGCTACAGCCACTTCGAATCGTTGTCACCAACTGTTGACCTACATTCTAGAATCCTTCCTGGAACTCGGCAAAGTTAATCTGGATGTTCTTGTTTTCTCCCTCGTCCCTTTTCCTACCCAATCATCGCCATGAATCTGAAGCAAGAAAAATTTTCATGTAAACTTGAAAATAAGAGGATACTTACATGGAGTACATCAACACTCAGCTGCTGAAAGTTCCGAGATCTCAATTCTTGCATTCGTTTGCTATTTTCTTCATATTTTTCCTCCACAATCTTTCTGTAAGTTTAAAGTGAATGTAGGAAAATAACTGTGAATTGCTAAAACCATGTCTATATTATACAGATGAATGTGATCCTTATTCAACAGATCGACTGGGGGATTAGAAAATCAGGCCATCAGTTCTCTTCCTCATCAAGGTGAATGTGGTGCAGCACCCAGCTGATTCTCTTTTAAAGCACACACAGGATGTTCTGGTTCCTTATTCACCCTTACAAATCCCAAAATGCAGCAGCAGGAGAAGACAGTGCTCCTCTCTGTGTGTTCTCCAAGTGCAGTGACAGAGCTATGTGTTCCCAATGCCTAGCACAGTGCCTACCACATACTAATAACACAAAAACTGCTTTCAGGATGAAAAAACCCATAAAAAGTAAAACTAGAGCCACATATCAAAGGATGTATGAGGAAATATATGGGAGTTATTGTGTGGGGGAATTTTTCTAGACACATTTACTTTGTTTTCTCTTATTACAGGAGAGTGAGTTTAAGAGACCTGCTACTAAACTGGGAGAAAGATCTGAGTTCTTTGATTACTTGTGGGCTAATTGATACTCAGGTTTTCCTCACTGAACACCCTTCTGGTCAAACTCTCTTGTCTCTAAAATGGGTACGTTATAATTCTTCTGACAATAGAGTCATTTTCTAGCTAAAACACAACACCCCCTTCATTCTACAATCAACAATTAGAAACAATTCCCCCTACAATTTATTCACAAAATCAAGGCCAAACTTTATTTAAAACCATTACCTTCAAATAAGAAAAATATATTAGTGTAACATGTGAAAGATATGTGACTTCTTTGTATTAAAAAACAGTTTTAATGTAAATATTTTGTAATCTGCATATGTTATTAAATTTACCTTTTTAATCTGTTTCTATCAGAGATTTAATTTTCCTTTTACCCTCAGCCAATGACATGAATCATGGCACCTTGGAAATATCACCATTTCTGAGGTATTACAAACAGATTTGGGGCTGTGAGCTGATGCAATGGCTCAAGCAATTTATGTGAATATATTTTCCCAGTAAAACTCACACTCAATGTCACAGTGGTTTGCAGAAGCCAACTTGTATTGGCTCCCAAGAGCAGACTGTGTAAATATCTTCCCAATTGAAAATTAAATGATATCATATTGGTAGCTTGATATTGGCCACAGTGGAAGTATTTATATCACAGAAATCAGCAAACAAATCAGCAGCCCCCTTCAAATCCAGAGCTGGTTATTAAATATTTACCAGCACACCACTGTTCACAATGTACTTTCATGGAAATCTTTTTCTACCCATTTATTAAAGAAAGCACATGTCAAGGGAAAATAGACTCATAGATTCTTATTTGACTTATCATGATATTCATTCTAAGTACAAGGACACCTCTAAATCAGTTTTCAGATAAATTAACAAGGTAACAAAATGAAGAGATTTGTGTTCAGGTTCTTTCTGTCTCTCTAGTTCTTGACTGGGGCTCCTAAACTACCAAAACATTGGCAGAGGAAGAAAAAATAAGAAAAAATAGGAAATTTGATAACCTACCAACAGATAAATCAGTTTTTCAGAAATTGAGGCTCTTAGGCTCTTTGAAATTTCATTTTTATACATGTATTTTTTCAGCTTTATTAAAACTTAATTGACAAAAAAGTTTAGATTTATATATACTATGTGATGTTTTCATATATGTACACATTGTAGGATGATTAAATCAAGCTCTACTCTGTTAGCAATCTTCAAAAATACAAAACAGTGTTATTAATTACAGTCACAATGTTGTACAATAGATCTCCAAAACTTATGTCTCCTGTCTGACTGAAACTTTTTACCCTTTGACCAACATTTCCCCATTCGTGCCCCCCTGCCCCTAGTAACCACCATTCTACTCTCCTCTTTTGTGAATTCAACTTTTTAAGATTCCATATATAAGTGATACCATGCAGTGTTCGTCTTTCTATGCCTAGCTTATTTCTCTTAACATAATGTCCTCCAGGTTCATTCATGTTGTTGCAAATGATGGGATTCCCTTCTTTTTTAAGGCTAAATAGTACTCCATTGTATGTATTTATACCACATTTTATTTATCCCCTTATCTGTTGATGGATACATATGTTGATTCCATATCTTGGCTACTGTGAATAATTCTGCAATGAACATTGGAGTGTAAGTATCTTTTTGATATACTGATTTCATTTTCTTTGGATATAAATCCAAATGTAGGATTGCCGGATCATATGGTAGTCCTATTTTTAATTTTTAGAGGAATCTTCATCCTGTTTTTCCATAATGGCTGTACTGATTTACATTCTCACCACTACTGCACAAGGGATCCCTTTTCTCTACATCCTGGCTAACACCTGAAATTTCACTTTTTCATGTAAATACTCAAATTACTAGTGATATCTCCCACCAGCAACACTGCCCTGAGCATAGACTTTTCTAAAGGCTTCACTTGACAGAACAGAGCTCTGTTTCCCGTCTACTTCTTCCAAAAGCTAACAATTTCCTGCCAAGAAAGTCTCCTTCCTATAAATAAGTGAGGTCTCCTGGTAGAAGGTACGCAGCAAGCACCTAGGGAATCTGGGTAAAACAGTGATGTCTCCTGCTGGGGTATGTGCAGAAGCTGTCAACAGCGATGAGGTTTCATTTGGAAATTGACTCTATTTTCATCACTAATAACCTCCCAAATAGTTAATCTTTCCCTTCACACAAGACTGAAAGCCTGATATTAATAGCACCTGACATTCAATCTATGGCTCAATAGTCATCTTGAAGTGAACGAGTGAATGAATAAACACATAAATACATAATCGTATGCATTGGGGTTTCCTGTTTTGGTTTCTGCTTTTCTCTGTAAATTTCCCGAGAGCCCTGAGAAGTAGTACTGAGCATGAGTGCCTAAAGGAAATGCAACTTACTTCAGCTTCCTGGCTTTCTCATCAGCCGCCTGGAGCTTTCTCAGCCTCATCCTTTCTCTTGGAGTCATTTTCTGTACTTCTGACAGTGCCCTCAGAGTCTGCAGGTGGATCCTTTTTTGCCTATAAATAACAAAGATTCCCCTCATATAGCCCATCCCAAACATGTTCAGAAAAATTAAACGAATATTTTATAAAAGTATCACTACACTACTGAGAGCAAAAGCATCTTGAGACAGGCCAGGCAAAAACTAATAAGCTTTGGGTATGTAATGAGCCAAGCAGAACTGTAGTTAATAAGCAACACTTTCCAAATTAGATTCTTGTTTAAAGGAAATTATTTACTTTCCAAATTCCTGCTCATTTCATCGCCAATGACTAGTTTTCATAAAGTAAAACAAATTAGGATCTCGGCCATTAAAGAGTAAATAGACGGGCACGGTAATTCCACTATGTGTATAAAACACATAATCTTTAGAGTTAGGCAGAGTTTGAATCCCACCTCCACCACTCATTAGCTCTGTGGCCTTGGGCAAGTAACTGAACCTCCCCGAATCTCAATTTTCTCATCTGCAAAGAATGGGCCATAGTAAGTATCACATGAGATAACACATGCACAGTGCCTAGCACATAAAAAGTATTCCAAATGCTAGTATTATAATAGCTAAATCTTATTTTTTAACTTTTATTTAAAGTTCAGGCATGCATGTGCAGGTTTGTTATACAGGTAAACTCGAGTCATAGGGGTTTGTTGTTCAGATTATTTTGTCACCCACATATTAAGCCTAGTACCGATTAGTTATTTTTCCTGATCCTCTCCCTCCTCCCACTCTCCACCCTCTGAAAAATTCCAGTGTCTGTTGTTCCCCTGTGTGTCCATGTGTCCTCATCATTTAGCTCCCACTTATAAGTGAGAACATGCATTATTTGGTTTTCTGGTCATGCATTACTTTGCTAAGGATAATGGCCTCCAGCTCTGTCTATGTTGCTGCAAAGGACATGATCTTGTTATTTTTATGACTGTGTAGTATCCCATGGCATAAACGTACCACATTTTCTTTATCTAGTGTACCATTGATGGGCATTTAGGTTGATTCCATGTCTTTGCTATTGTGAACAATGCTGCAATGAACATATGCATATATGTGTCTTTATGACAGAATGATTTATATTCCTTCAGGTATATATCCAGTAATGGGATTGCTGGGTCAAATGGTATTCTATTTTTAGGTCTTTAAGGAATTACCACACTGTTTTCCACAATGGTTGAACTAATTTACACTTCCACCAATGGTGTATGAGTGTTCCTTTCTCTCTGCAGCCTCACCGGCATCTATTTTTTGACTTTTTTTTTTTTTTTTTTTTGAGACGGAGTCTCACTCTGTCACCAGACTAGAGTGCAGTGGCGCGATTTCAGCTCATGCAACCTCAGCCTCCTGAGTAGCTGGGACTACAGGTGCGTGCCACCACACCCAGTGAATTTTTGTATTTTTAGTAGAGACGGGGTTTCACCATGTTGGCCAGGATGGTCTCGATCTCTTGACCTCATGATCCACCATTCTGTCTGGTGTAAAGTTTCTGAGAACTTGCCCTATGAATCTGGGTGATCCTGTATTGGGTGCACATATATTTTGGATAGTTAGATCTTCTTGTTGAATTGAACCCTTTACCATTATGTAATGCCCTTGTCTTTTTTGATTATTGTTGGTATAAAGTCTGTTTGGTTTGAAATCAGAATAGCAACCCCTGCTTTTTTCTATTTTCCATTTGCTTGGTAGATTTTTCTCCATCCTTTACTTTGAGCCTATGTGTGCCATTGCATGTGAGATGGGTCTCTTAAAGACAGCATATAGTTGGGCCTTGCTTCTTTATCCGACTCTACACAGTGCCTTTTAATTGTGGCATTTGGTCTGTTTACATTCAAGGTCCGTATTGAGCTGCGTGGATTTAATCCTGTCATCACAATGTTATCTGGTTATTATGCAGACTTGTTTGTATGGTTGCTCTATAGTGTCACTTACAGTCTGTGTACTTCAGTGTATACCGGTAGTGGCTGGTAATGGTCTTTCCTTTCTATATTTAGTGCTTCCTTCGGGAGGTCTTATAAGGCAGGTCTGGTAGTAACAAATTCCCTCAGTATTTGGTTGTCTGAAAAGGATCTTATTTCTCCTTCGCTTATGAAGCTTAGTTTGGCCAGATACGAAATTCTTGGTTGGAATTTCTTTTCTTTAAGAATGTTGAATGTTGGCCCCCAGTCTCTTCTGGCTTGTAAGGTTTCAGCTGAGAGATCTGCTGTTAGTTTGATGGGCTTCCCTTTGTATGTGACCTGACCTTTCTCTCCAACTGCCTTTAACATTTTTTCTTTCATTTTGACCTTGGAAAACCTGATGATTATGTGTCCTGGGAATGATCTTCTTGTGAAGTATCTTACTGAGGCTCTTTGCATTTTGTGAATTTGAGTGTTGGCCTCTTTAGCTAGGTTGGGGAAGTTCTCATGGATGAAATTTCTATGTTTCTATGTAACACATTTCTATGTTTTCCAAGTTGCTTCAATTTTTCCCACCTCTTTCAGGGACATGATTTGATCTCTTTTACACAATCCCATATTTCTTGCAGATTTTGTTCATTCCTTTTTCTCTATTCTTCCCTGTCTTATTTCAGAAAACCAGTCTTCAAGCTCTGAGATTCTTTCTTCAGCTAGGTGCATTCTGATAGTAATACTAGAGATGGCATTTTTTTTTTTTTTTGAGCTGGAGTCTCACTCCATCATTCAGTCTGGAGTGCAATGGTGCTATCTCAGCTCACTGAAACCTCTGCCTCCCAGGTTCAAGCAATTCTCCTGCCACAGCCTCCTTGGTAACTGGGATTACAGGCACCTGGCTAATTTTTGTAGAGATGGGGTTTTGCCATGTTGGCCAGGCTGGTCTCGAACTCCTGACCTCAAATGATCCACCCACTTCAATCTCTCAAACTGCTGGGATTACAGGCGTGAGCCACTGTGACTGGCCTGAAATTCTTTTTTTTTTTTTGAGACGGAGTCTTGCTCTGTCGCCCAGGCTGGAGTGCAGTGGCCGGATCTCAGCTCACTGCAAGCTCCGCCTCCCGGGTTTACGCCATTCTCCTGCCTCAGCCTCCCGAGTAGCTGGGACTACAGGCGCTCGCCATCTCACCCGGCTAGTTTTTTTGTATTTTTTAGTAGAGACGGGGTTTCACCGTGTTAGCCAGGATGGTCTCGATCTCCTGACCTCGTGATCCGCCCATCTCGGCCTCCCAAAGTGCTGGGATTACAGGCTTGAGCCACCGCGCCCGGCCCTGAAATTCTTATAGTGTGATTTTCAGCTCAATCAGGTCAGTTACATTCTTTCCTATACTGGCTATTTCGTCTGTCAGCTCCTTTATCATTTTATTATGTTTCTTAGCTTCCTTGGATTGTGTTTCAATGTGCTCCTGCATCTCAACGATCTTCATTCCTATTAATATTCAGAATTCTATTTCTGTCATTTCAGCCTTCTCAGCCTGGCTTAGAACCCTTGCTACAGAGGTACTGTGGTCACCTGGAGGAAAGAAGGCAGTCTGCTTTTTGAGTTCTCGAAGTTCTTGCACTGGCTCTTTCTCATCTTTGTGGGCTGAAGTTCCTTCAATCTTTGAAGTTTTTTTCCTTTTACTCTATTTGATAACTTTGACAGTTTGATTTTGGTATAAGGTGGATTCAGTAGACTGGCTTTGTTTCTGGAAAATTTTAGGCAGCCAGTGCTCAGCTCCCAACTCCTGGGCTGTGTGCTCTAACTCTGGGAGACTTGTATTGGGCCCCAACTTTGCTCTCTGGCTCCTCAAGGTTGTCAACTCATTGCACTGGGGGGCCCAATGTGCTCCTGGACAGCTGGTTACTACACTCTGATGGGTGGTGCCTGCCAAAGCATTTTTTGGATGGTGGCAGCAGGATCCATCCTTGCTTGCATGTGCCAGCAGCGGCAGCGGTGGTGGAGTGGCAGTGTGGAGGGGTGCACACTTGTCAGCTGTGGAAAGGTGCTAGCAGGTGTCAGGGTGCCTGTCTCCCTGGGGGCATTCACAGCAGCAGCAGAAGCAGAATGGCTCAGGGAGCTGGGTCCCTCCACCAGCAACTGTGCATGTGGTCCTATTGGTGGTGGTGGTAGCACAAGGTGCAGCACTGGTGGGCATAGGTCTGTGTGCAACCTCTGTGCATGTTGACATGCACAGAGGTAGGAGTACATTTCAGGGCAGGGAAGGGTCTGCTGTTCTCTGCACCTAGTTTCACTCTAGCAGCAGTGTTGGTACAGGGGCAGGGTGCTGGCAGGGCCAGGGCTTGCTATCTCTGTGCCGCCAAGGCTCTGACTGCAATGGCAGGGGAGGTGAGGTGGGATACACTCCCGTCAGCAGCAGTAGCAGGGCACATGCATGTTGGCAGGGCAGGAAAGTCAAAATCTGCCCATGTATACACATGCCAGAAAAGCAACATGGGGAGGGGTGTGGCTGTGAGCCTGGGGAAGCTGCAGTTAGGGGAAGGAGTAGGTCTCCCCACTGGATCTCTCCTCCAGTCAGACATGATTCCTCAGCAGTACAGGAGCTATGATGTAGACCCCCAGGGCACCCGCGGCTGCACTGCAAGCAGGCATGGTCAGGCTGGGCCTCAGGAGAGGCCAGAAGATCAAGGGGTGCTCAGGTCAGATCAGCCTCCTCTGATGGGCAAGACTGCCTGCAGAGTTCAGGTCTGACAGTTCCCCTGGGTCTAAAGTCTCCCATGGGAGCAAGTCAAGCCAAGGCGGATGGTCTCCCTGGCCATGCTCTGCTGCAGACACTCAAGCACCAAACCCTCTGGGCTCCACATCAGCTGGTGTGCTGCCCCTACCACTTCTCTAAGCAGCCCTCCCTACCAACTCAAGTGTCGCTGGTGGTCAAGGGGTCTCCTGCAGCTGGAATTCCAGAGGCCTGTGGCAAGAGTAGGTTGCTCCCTGCCAGTTCAACTCACCCATTCCCCCAGCGTCACTGGAGACCAGGAATGGGTCCTGGTGCAGAGGTGTACAGTGGCCCCATGCAGGATTCCCAACTTCCTCCCCCTTTAGCCCAGCTTCTGTGCCTTCTCTCCAGCCACTCTCAGTTGTTCCCTCTGAAGATCTGGTAGGAGTGTGCCAGTAGTCCTGGTCCCTCAGTGGCAGCTGTTCCACCTGGCTGCACCTAGTTGGGCATCTTGTCCCCTACCTCATGCTAAATTTTATTGACTATGTCCTCTATTCCAGGCTTAATACAGTAGATATTTTTGTGTAGCATGGTGTCATGGTTAATTGCACAGATTAATAACACACTCTGGGTTCAAGAATACAGAAACTTTTTCCCACTGCCCAGACTCTAATGGACAATGTCTACACTCCCAGGGCCAACACAAGGTTTAGGACAGTGAGATACCTTAGGCGCAAAATCTAAGGGGGCACCAAAAATTTCAGTAACCACGATAATTTTAATGAAAATTATTTTTAAAAATCAAAGTTAATTTCAAAAAGCTATAAAGACTACAATAGCAAAATTTTAAGGACAGGATCCAACCCTGAACTTATACAATTCCACCTCACTTTCCTCACCCTGATCCTGGCCCTGCTGGACCCTGTCTTTAAACTTTTAATATTTTGTTACCAGTGATTTTAAGCATTAATTTGGAGTTTTACAATATTGCATTAAAATTTGATCTTGATTATGAGTTTTTAGTGTCCCATTGAAATTTTGCCACAGAGTCAAGGGCCTCACTTGCCTTATCCTGGTCCCAGCAGATCCCTGTGAATACCTTTAGACCTTTTTTTGTGTGGAATGTTCACAGCCTCTTCAGTGTTTTTGATCCCAACAATCAGCACATAAACCTCTTTCGATGTATGATTAATGTTAAGCATGTTTCTTTCACTGAAAAAGAGGCTAAATAATCACATTGGCTAACATTTCAGCAGGTAATAACCCCATGCTTATAAGCACTTTACATGAATTAACTCACTTAAATGCAGAGCAACTCTGTGAAGTAGGCACTTTTTTTATAGTCATAGAGAGGTTAAGTAACTTGTCCAAAGTAATATAGAGTATTACCTGGGAGCTAGAATTTGAATTGAGAGAGTGTTATTAATCTGTGTAATTAACCACTACACCATGCCACAGCAAAAAATATTTAGTGTATTAAGCCTGGAATAGAAGACATGGTCAATACAATACAGCATGAGGGAGGGGGCAAGATGGCCGACGAGAGGCAGCCAGGTGGACAGGGATGACTGGCACATGTCTAAAAATCTTCAGAGGGAAGGCACATTGAAAGAACTTCAACCACATTCTCAATGGCATTTGCTTCTCTTCCTGACTTGGTTAGGGCCCAATACTATAGAAGACCTTTTGCACTCCAGTCTTTCCTTGACAAACACTGTGAGAAAATTGTAATGACCTCTGAGGACAGTTCTAATACTTCTCTGACACCATCCAGACCACAGACTCCAGAGGACATTCAATTTTCAGGAATATACATCTCTCATTTTGTCAGACCAATGGATCTCCTTGAAACATAGTCATAGACCTCAAAAATAGCAGTGACCATCTGAAGTCAATATTTCATAATGTAAAATACCCTGCAAACAACTGGATTCTAGAACACTGTTAATTGTAAACAGTGTCAGTTTTATAACTGCAGTACAAAATGATAGCCAAAACTAGTCCAGTATTTAAAAAATATCTACTACTCTCACATCTCTAGTTAATAAAATACAATTGGAAATTTCGATGTTTCTTGAAATAGCAGATAATAAACCATAAAAACAAGGTTATTAGGAACATGTCTAAAAATTTACCCCCTGTGGTATATAGTGTATCTTAACTGGAGACCATGCAAATTTCCTCAGTTTGAAAGTGAAGATGGAAAGCAAACATGGTGGAGTTGAGAAACATTGGACTGGGTGTTGGAGGAGTATATTTGTGCTAGAGCAGCTTATTGAGGGCTTCTGTTTTCACCCCACTGTCCTGCACACCTCTTGTATACCACAGACATTCATGACTGTACAACTATGCAAAAACCCAAAACATAAGAACCTAGTATTCTGGGTTCTTGCAAGTTATAGAATAAAAATTTTGAACGAGGTAGGAGAGAGAAGTTAGATCAGGAAATAAATATGTTTCTTTGGGAAATACATTGTTTAGTTCTTATATGAAGGAATGTATATTTCAAGAAAGTGAATTTCGGCTTATTTTCAATTGTCCCAGGACTTCACAATGTTCTCTTGTCAATAGATACTCTGCCAGTTCACATTAAACAAGCAACATGTGAAAGCCATTTATGGTTATTATGGAAGGCTCATTAGCATAAATGTTACTAAATATTTGGGATATTAACTTCTCTATATCCTTGCAAGGCAACTGCAGAGCTACCCTGCAGATTTGTAAGCTGTGCAGTGGTTTAAACTTTTATGATTTCAATTTGCTACCACCTGGGGTAAAGGGCTTTGGAACACCAAGCTCCTGAAGCTCCTTAATTTCTTGGCAAGACTTAAGTGAATTCCAGGATACTCCATGCAGTCAGTTTAGTGCTAATAGATTTTTAAAGACAAATGCATTCAACATTTACACTCGATGGGCTTTTAAAAAACAAAGCAATTACTTACATGGCATTAATTATACGAGCAGCCTCCTTCTGACAATCCAAATTCTTGTCTTCCAGAGTCATTTCTGAATGTCTACACATTAGGTGCTGCAAAAAAGATCAACAACCCTGACATACCTTAAAGGCTCCTCTTTCGGGATGAAAGGGAATAAATTACCAAGTATCTTTTCAGATCTGGGGTACTTTTGACCATGGCAGGGAGCCTGAGAACAAAGCATGCTATTTTTTCCTGGGTTCCATAAAATTACATGGTAGCTTTTCCAAGAAGATTTTGCAGGGTCAGGCTCCTGCCTGTCTCTCCAGCTTCATCTTGCACTGCTTGCTCTCTCACTCCCTTTTGCCAATCATGGGCAGGCCTACTTTCAGCTACAAGAAGACACAAGCTTTTTCCAACCTCCCAGACTGTAGAGGACAGTATCTACACCCCCAGGGCCACTGCAAGGTTTAGGCAAGTGAGATACCTCAGGTGCAAAATCTAAGAGGACACCAAAAAACTCAGTAACCAAGATAAATAATTTTAATGAACATTATTGTTAAAAAATCAAAATTAACGTCAAAAAACTATAAAGAATACAATAGCAAAACGTTAAAGACAGGATCCAACCCTGAACTTACACAATTCCACCTCACTTGCCTCACCCTAATCCTGGCCCTGCTGGATCCTGTCTTTAAACTGTTAATATCTTGTTACCTGGGATTTTAAGCATTAATCAGGATTTTTAAAATATTACTTTTAAAATATTATGAGTTTTTAGTGTCCCCTTAAATTTTACCTGAGAGTCAAGGGGCTCACTTGCCTCATCTTGGTCCCAGCAGATCCCTGTGAATACTTTTTGACCCTTTTTATTTTTTTTTGAATGCTCACAGCCTCTTCAGTGTGTTTTTGATCCCCACAACCAGCATATGAGGCTCTTTTTCAGAGGACCACGTGCAGGTTCTACTGGATCCCATTTGGCCTTCATAGAAGGAGAGATGGAAGTACCAGGAAACCTAAGCCTGCCTCCGTCTCTCCCGTCCTGCCTTCCCCATGACCGCGTAGGCTTCCCTGAGAGCATATGCTTGCATAAGAACCCTCCCATCTGTATCTACCTCCAAGGCACAATATAATCAGGACCTTTGTGCCAGCTATTCCCTGTGATTCGAACACTGTTTCTGAGGCTCTTTACATGGCTGGTTGCTTCCCATTGGCTCACTGGTAAAGAAATGTCAAGTACTCCTTCGACCACCAAAGCCCTTCCTTTCTCCCTTATTTTTACAGTATCCTGTTTATTATACTTTCTTCCTAGTGCTAGGCATATACTTATGTTATTTACATCCTTACTTTTTCTTGGTTATTGGCTTCTCTCACTAGTCAAGCTTCAAAAGGACAGGAAACATACCTGTTCCTTTCATTTTGGCATCCCCTGGTGTCAGCACAGTGCCCAGCACTCAACTAATAAGCACACATCATTTATCACCTTTGCTTCCTTTGGATTTGGAACATGCTCCACTGATGAAAAGGTATGCACAGTTTTTAAGATGGATGACCATTTTGTGGTTCTTCTTAAAGTTACCCATAAAATTAGAGGAAACTTGCCTCAGGGATTTGTATTGTAAAACCCTGAGAAGTTTAAAAAAAAAAAAACCAAAAAATCCAAAAAGCCCTCTAAAGAGGGGACCATTTGCTGCTTTCTTAATACCTGAGACACGGCCTCTATATCACATTTCCTAATTTACAAGAAAACAAAATAAACTTAGCTAATCATTAAAAAGTATTATTGAGATATCTAATAAAGGATTGGAATTATAAATGCTCAGTGATAATCCTAGATTTTAGTATTCTCTGTTAGTATATTCTTGTCCTTGCAGGGATATAGTTACAAAGTGTTTGGGTAAGATCTGTCAACAGGGCTCCAAGGACGGATGTTGAGTTTTGGCATAAAAAACCCCTCACTTCTCATTTTCAATGGCACTGGGGAATGGGAGTTCACACACACCTTATTTTGGAAAGAGATTGTCCTGACTACTATTTTTCTCAGGTTTTTAAAATTCGTATTTATTTATTTTTGAGACAGAGTCTTACTCTGTCACCAGGCTGGAGTGCAGTGGCACAATCTCCACTCACTGTAACCTCTCTCTCCTGGGTTCAAGTATTCTCCTGCCTCAGCCTCCTGAGTAGCTGGGACTGCAGACATGCACCACCACACCCAGCTATTTTATTTTATTTTATTTTGTATTTTTAGTAGAGACGGGGTTTCACTATGTTGGCCAGGATGGTCTCGCACTCTTGACCTCGTGATCCGTCCGCCTCAGCCTCTCAGCTTCTTCTTGACCTTTTTCCTCCTTTCTGGTTGATTCTTACTGCATCGTACCCCCTCTGCATATCTTCAAGTCATGGAATGTGTATACAAATGCTAATACCTGTTTCGCAGAATCCCTTTCATTTTAAATACCTGTAGCTGCTCATCAATGTAAGGGAACTTTAAAATTTCGATAGCAGATGGTCTTAATGAAGGATTCTTGTTCAACATGCTGTAATGTTCAAAAAGAAAATTATTTTTCAAACGAACTAAAATATAAGTACAATTTTCAACTATTTCTGTGACGACATATTTATTTCTATACCTTTCCATGATGGCATTTAGTTCTTTTGGATATCTCTCAGGGAGAGAAGGTGTGTCACCTTCAACAATTTTTAAAACAATGGATAAGAAATTGGAGCCAGCGAATGCATGATTCATGCAGCACATCTCATATAAAATGCATGCCAGGGACCTGAAGACAAAGTCAAGGAATTTAAACAAGGAACAAATATCCTATTTTAAATTTTTTCATCATACAAAACCTCAGATGTGTTGGGGCATTGGCTGTGAGGCACAAACATGCAATCAGTAGTTGACTTAAAAACTGCAGTTTCATACTGTTTTTTTCCATTTAAATACATGTTTACCAAAAAAAAAAAAAAAAAAAAGTGAAAGAATAAAGCACAAAAGTAAGTCTGAATGACAGCTTTTTTATCAAAGAATAAGCAGACCAAGAGTTAACAACATGCCCACACATAGTAAAGATTCTAAGTATTTGATCAATGTAAGGATTTTTTGAATTAGCCTTTAATAAATAAAATGCAGCTGAAGATTATCTTCCTAAGGTAGTTTGATAATTTTATACATGCAAAATATAATTTTAATTTAGCAGCCTAACCTTCCCTCTAATGTATATCCAAGCATTTTTAAAAGGAAACTGGCATTATTTATTATTCTCTGAATATAATCCATTTGCAAGTGGGGTGGAAGAGCAGCTACTTGAAGCCCACATTAAAATGTATAATTCTCCTATGGTGAGTATGAAACAGAATATTAAAATTCTAGATAAGTCCAACACTGATTTGGATTAACCATGCAAATCAATAACCTCTAAACCAGCAGGAAAATATTTTAAATAACTCTACATCATTTAAAAAAAAAAAAAAAAAAACTGAAAGAGAAATTCCTGTCTGAGCTTAGTATTTAAATAGCACTTCTCCTGAATAATGAATTATTTTTATCTTATGGACATTATGAATTATGTAACTGTCCAGGTTTTCCTTTTCATGTTAGTCACTTGAAAGATAAGAAATAAACTTGTGATTGACCTTGTGTAAGTTACATTTTATGTAACTTTTGACAATGTCCTTAATACAACAAAGGATAGACAGAAATAAATACATTAATAATATCACTGAACTATTTTGTGGGTGTTCATGAAAATGTGCACTTGTAAGAGAATTTTGGATACATACACTGAGAATATTTCTGTTCCAGTAAATAATAACACTAAAAATTTCCAACTGAGCTGATTGGTACTTTACATTTTACAAAGCACTGACAATATCTCAACAGTCCCTCATAACTTCCCAGTGAAATAGAGTAGAGCCCATGTAATATTTTTCCCATTTTATAGATAAAAAATTGGCTCAGAAAACTTAAATGACTTGGCCAAGGTCATACAGGTAGTAAATGGTAGAACTGACTCTTGAATTAAGGCATTTATCTTTCAAAATCCTAGACTGTTTCCATTAAAGAATGCTAGAAAGAAGGGGCAGATGTTAGAAGAAAGTGCATGAAATCAACTAGAATACCAATATCAATGTAAATATTAAAAATGATCAGAATTATTTGAAAATCAATAAATTTTGCATCTATCTGAAAGACTATTAAATGGCATCTGGTTAGATTTCTATACCCAGAAAAAACATTCCCTCAAATTAAGATGAAATAAAGATGTTTTTAGCTAAGCAAAAACAGAGATTTCATTATCAGCAGGAAAGCATTTCTTAAATCCTAGACATAAATTTTTCTAACAGAAGAAAAATAATCCAGACAAAAACAATGAGTACAAGAAGAAATAAAGAGCACCAAAAAAGTAATTTTGTGAATATGCATAAATGAATATTAACTCTACAAAATAAAATTAACAATATCTTGTGGTGTTTAAAAATTATGTAGAATAAAAATTCATGACAAAAATAAGGCAAATGACACAAGAGGGAAAAGATTCCAATTAAAAAACTAAATTATCAGACTGGAAAAATAAAAGGTATATTCTGCTCACAAAACAAACTTTAAATGTAGGAACACAGAGAGGCTGATAGAAAAACCATACAAACACCAAAATGGCAAGAAACATGACTAAGATTAAGATGGTGGATCAATAAAACAAGCAAACCACCAGGAATATAAAACAATTCTAAATCTGCATACACCCAATAATGTGTGTGTGTGTGTGCATGTGCATCGTGTGTGTGTGTGTATGAAGCAAGAACTGACAGAATTTAAAAAATCAATCAAAATAGAAAAAATCTACACGATGACAAAATTGATATAATTGGCAAGCTGACGTAAATGCAACCAACAATAACAGAATTCAATTTTTTTCAAGGGCACAGGGAACATTTACCAAAATTGACAATTTACACAGGGCCATAAAGCAAGCCTTAACAGTTTTTAAGGACTGAAATCTTCAAAGCCTGATCACAGTAAAATTGTGCTAGACATGAATAACACAGCGATAGAGAAAAAGAGATAATTGTAAAACCATAAAATTTCCAACTGCTTGAAAACTAAGAAATACAGATCTAAATAATCCTTAGGTCAAACAAGAAATTAGAAAACACTTTTAATGGAATGCTAACGAAGATACCAAATATCAACACATTGAATGCAGTTAAGGTGCTTACAGCAAAATTCGAAGTATTAAATGCATATATTACAAAAAAAAAAAGCTTAAAATCTATCATATAAGTCAACTTGAGAAGCTAAAAAAGAGCAAATCACACCAAAGAAAGTTTAAGGAAATAAATTTTAAAAGAGAAGAAATTAATGAAATAGAAATAAACAATAGAAACAAAGTCAGCGAAGACTAATACATTTAATAGATCTCTAGCAAGGCTGATCAAGAAAATCAGAAAGAAAACACAGATTAACAATAACACAAATAGAAAAAGGTGCAACATTACAGACTCCACAGATATTAGAAAGTATTAAGATGACATTATAAACATGTTTTTTCCAATAAATTTGACAATATGGATAAAGTTAACAGTCTTCTAAGAACAGAACTTACTGACACAAGAAGAAAAAGATAATCTGAATAGTTTTTTATCTATTGAACAGAGACAATTTCTTATTTAAGGTAATAAAACTCAAAGCAGAATTACCATTTGACCCAGCAATCCCATTAGTGGGTATATACCCAGAGGAATAGAAATCATTCTACTATAAAAACACATGCATGCATATGTTCATTGCAGCATTGTTCACAATAGCAAAGATATGGAATCAACCTCAATGCCCGTCAATGGTAGACTGGATAAAGAAAATGTGGTACATATAAATAATGGAATATTATGCAGCCATAAAAAGAATGAGATCATGTCCTTTGCAGCAACATGGATCAACCTGGAGGCAAACTAATAGAGGCACAGAAAACCAAACACTGCATTTTCTCACGTATAAGTGGGAGCTAAACATTGACTACATGTGAATGCAAAGAAGGGAACAACAAACACTGGGGCCTACTTGAGGGTAGAGGGAGAGGAGGAGGTTGAGAAACTCAAAAATAAAAGTAAAGAGGCAGTTGCTGTAACAAACTATAAACAAACAAATAAATAAAGGTTTAAACACAAAAAATACAGTTAACAATAATTTATTATGTATTTCAAAATAGTTAGAAGATTTGGAATGTTCCCAACACAAAGAAATGATAAATGTTTGAAGCAATGACTATCTCAATAACCTAGATTTGATCATTATGCATTGTAAGCTTGTATCAATATATCATATGTGCCCCATAAACATGTATGATCATTATGTATGCATAAAAATTTTTTTAATTAAAAAAACCGCCTATTGTGTACTATGCTTAACACCTGGGTAATGACATAATCTCTACACCAAGCCCATGTGACATAATTTATATATATATATGTATGTATGTATAAAACAAACCTGCACATGTACCCCTGAACCTAAAATAAAAGTTTAAAATAATAATAATTGAGATAGACAACAGAAGTATCCCCTGACCCTCTATCTCAAAAGTAAATATTATAAAGCAATCCTTGTAAGAACAGGAGCTATATTTGTTTGGCTTTGTTTTTGCCTACCAATGTATTTTCAGCACAACAACAGAACAGTGGCTAGCTGTATCTTCTCAACAGAGATATTTGTTGAATACAGAAAAATAAAACAAAATAATAAAAAGCTCTTGCAAAGAAAAACTCCAGGACCAGATGGCTTTACTGATAAATTCTTCCAAACATTTAAGAAATAAATAACAATAATCTTGCTCAACTTCTTCATTTTGTAAGACCAGGACAAGTTTGATACTAAAATATAACAAGGATATTATATGAAAGGAAAATTACAAGCAAACGTTTTCATGAATGTTGATTCAAATAACCCACACTGACACACACATATTAGCAAATAGAATACAATGACATATTAAAAAGATAATACATCATGACCACGTAGATTTTATTTCAGAAATACAGAGTTGACTTAATATATGAAAATAAATAAATCAAAATATATCTCATTATAGAAAAAAGTTGAAAAACCATATCACCATCTTGATTGATGCAAAAAAGCATTTTATAAAATTCAAAACTTAATGTATTTTTAAAAAGAAGAAAACTCCTAGCACACCAGATATAGGAGGGAACTTCCTTAATCTGATTTTTTGAAGCTTAAAAATATATAGTGAACATGATGCTTATTGGCGAAATATTGAAAGTTTATTATTTTCTTCTGAGATTAGGAACAAAATAAGAATGTCTACTATCATCACTTCTATTCAACACTGTAATGAAGGTGCTGCCCAAAGCGATAATGCCAGAAAAAGTAAATTTTTAAAAAAATCTATAAAGATTAGTAAAGAAAACATTAGACTGTCATTAATCATGTCAACATGATTGTATACAGAAGAAATTCCAAAGACCTGACAAACTGTTCGACTTAACGAGGGAATTATGCAAGACTGCTGAATACAAAGCCCTTCATTTCGATAAACTTGCACAAAAACACACTTCAAGTGGCCCACGAAATACCAGCCAAAATCCTAGCAGACATTTTGGCAGGAACTGACAAGCAGATTCTAAAATTTATATGGAAATACAAAGGGACCTGAATAGCCACGGCAATTAAACAAGAACAAATTTAGAAGTTTGTATGACCAAATATCAAGATTTATTATAAAGTTATATTGCTTATATTATAAAGTTATATTACCTATGA